AATTGTGGGTCTGTTCAGTCAACACCTTACAAGTTAGATAAACTATGTTCACATTAAAGAAGCCCTTCAAGGGGGCAAGGTGTTTAAAACAGGACTAGGAGAAGAACAAAAGATAAAACCATGGTCTGCATAATCATAAGGTTAAGGTATTTGTAGCCTGAATAATTCAGCATCTGGCATAGAGGTAAATTTGAGACTGTATGCCAAAGGTTTGGAAAAATTTCCCTTTTCTTCTACTTCATATGCAACCACTCAAATTCCTAGGGGGCCTTCCCCAGTGATCCTCTCAGACCTTAAATGTATCTCTTTCCCTCCTTCTACCTATGCCCACTATTCAGGTGTCAACTCCAAGGACATTTGAATTTCTGGTACCTGTTAGTCTTTGAGTATTGGAAATCACAAAATGGGATTTTCTATCCACCCACCAGAACAATGATGAAAGCTCCCCCCTATATCGGCACTCCACTATTCCTCCTAGAATACCTATTAATTTCTCCACCTCTGTACTCACATTGGTTTCTTTGAAGAAGATCCCTAAGTTTTCCTATAAACTCAAATTTTGTCCTCAAATTTTGTCCTCATAGATGCTAGTGTCATAGAAGAGAATAAGCCAAGAGTTGCAAGGCTTTCTAGGTCTCCCCACTCAGGCTCATACAGGTATACAAAATTCCCACAGTCATTTTTCTCAAATCCAATTTTTATCATCTGTTGTTTTCTTCTTTTTTATATCTATGTGTTCTAAATTTCCTAAAAATAGATTTAGAAATAGATTATTTTACATTATTTTTTTGTAACAAGGAAATGTACTCCATTTTAAAATTACTTAAAATCAAAATGCTACATTATGTTTTTTTCTGGCTATCACCAACTCTTTTCACAAGTTTAGTGAAATCAGAAGGAATATTACACTAAATGGCATAGGTTGTATTCTCAGAGAAGACTTCAAGATGGAGTCTTTCCATAGACTCATGAATTTATCATTTTTAAAAATTAAAGAACAATGCAGCTGGGCATGATGACTCATGCCTGTAATCTCAGTGGCTCAAAAGTCTGAGGTAGGAAGATCAAAGCTAGCCTCGGGAACTTAGGATAGGCCTAAGCAACTTAGTGAGACCCTGTCCCTGGTACAAAAACAAAACAAACAAATAAGAAACAATTTTTTAATCCTTTTTTAAAAATTGTCACTGGACTTTTATTTTATTTATTTATATGTAGTGCTGAGAATCAAACCCAGTGTCTCACACATGCTAGTCACTTAGCCAAAACCCCAGCCCCAATGCAACTTTTTATAATAGAGATTTTTTTAAAATTTATATTCTCATTTCTAATGTGGAGTAAGCTTTAAATTTTTTGAATCACTTTTAAGATATACATAATTTACATAGCTATTTACTACCTAGTATTTTGGACATTATTATTATTTTTCAGTACTAAGGATCAAATCTAGGGCTTCATACATGCTAGACAAGTGCTCTACCTCTCGGCTATACCCTTGGCTTCCTATTATTTCGTACCAATATATTTAAACACTTTCCATATTTCTGAATTCCACATGTTCTTTTTATGTCAGAATTTTCATTTTGAACTTTTCAAAAGATCTTTCAGAATTAGTTTGTCACGAACCTCTCTTGTGCACATATAAAAAGGAAAACGTAAGTGAAATAATTTGATTAAAGTATTTCTAAAGTAGTGACAATGATATACAACTGCTCCTTAGCTGACAGTAATTTAAAATCCATGTGATTTAAAAGATGTTAAAGTCACAATAATAAACTCCCATGGATACACCCTCTTGCTTAATATGGCAATTCACACTCTGTTGAAATTTGCCTCCTACATGTCATTCCTTTCACCCTGTATGTCACCACTGTCCTGAATTTTGTGTTTATCATTCCTTTATTTTTCTCTTTCAGAAAATATGCACCACTGACCATTGTTTGATCTTATTTTTGAACTGTCCTACAGTTGAAATGCCAAGGTATTTTATTTTATTACTCAACATTGTGTAAGATTCATCCATGCTAAGATGAATGGCTGCTATTCATTTTCACTGCTGTCTAATGGGCCCTGCAAGCATATACCAGTTTTATCAATTCTTTTGTTTGATGAAAATTTGAGCTCTTTCCAGGATCTTGCTGTTAAAATGGTCTTACTATAAACATTCTCCTATCTCCTATCTCCTGGTAAGTATTGGTAAGCATTTTTGAGAGTTTGTCCTATGCATTTACATAGGAGGAAGGAGGATTGTTAAGATTGGGTCAGAGGTCAGCAAACTTTTTCTGTAATAGGCCAGATAGTAAATATTTGTAGACTGTGATCCTTATAGTCTCTCTGGCAACAACACAAATCTGTCATTTCAGTGTGGAAGCAGCCATAGATGGTATATAATTGAAAGGCTGTGCCTACATTTTAGTAAAACTTTATTCACAAACCCAGGCAGTTGGCAAGATTTGGTCCTCTGAACATGGTCCGCCAATCCCTAATCTAGATAGAATCCCCTATCACCATTGCATTTAAATGCCACTGTATCCTTTCCCTTTTTCTCATGGGTTTATAAAGACTGTCTTTTCTGAGTTTGTGAACTGGACTGAATGTCCATGTTCACAGACCTTCAGAAGAAAGGGAGGATTGGCCATGGGGACCTGGTGGGGGGCATTCATCCCATAGTCTATGACCTCCATAGTCTTTAAAGAACCAAAGGCAGAAAGGGTTGAAGCTTTTGCCTCACACTGGCTCTGCTGCACTTCTGGTGAGAGGCTCTACCTGCCTGGAGTATAGGTAATGTCACAGAGGCCACTATGAGGTCATTGCCAGGCTGTGGGATAGAGAAATTCAAACAGAAAATTGCATTATTTTGGAGTTGTGTGACCTTTATTATTTAAACTGCAGCAGGAAAACTGAAATTGGCTCACTGGGTATACTTCTGAGCCCTTGATCTCACAGCTTCCTGCTCTAGCTTTTATTTAAATGGATTTGGCTTCAAAGATGAACCTTTCTGTCATCTCAGATGTCACAGTACCAGAGATCTCTAGATCCTTGCCTTCCGGGGCTCTCTCCACCTTCCTCTCTATGTTGTGCTTTTCCACCGTCTTGGTCACGATGTCTAGCTCTCTATCACGTGATGTAACAACTGTTTTTGAACTGGGCATAACCATGAAGCTCCTCAAAAAAGAGCCAATTTTACTGGATTTCTTACTTAAGTTAACTGAACTAGTTGCAGATCGGCTCTTCCCCACTTTGTGCATTTTCCTGGACTCCTTGGTAGAGGAACTATGGCTGGCACTTTTGTGAGATGAGCCGCGTCCTTTCCTGTGTCCTTTGTCTTTCCTGTCATCTTTTGTTTTTCCGTGGTGTTCAGATACAGACCGATGGGAGGATGATTTCCGGCTCTTTTCCTTGCTTGCCTTGTGATGGGTTTCACCTGCTCTCCGGTGCCGGGAACTTTTCCTACTGGCATGTTTGTCCTTCTTTTCTTTTTTTTCCTTTTTTTCCTTCCGGCCTTCACTGCTGGTCTTGGAAACCTTCTGGCTTCCATCCCGTTCACACATATAGCCTTCACTCTGCAAGGTTGATACGAGGGGTGCCACCGCAGCTGCTTCATCTTTTCCTGTCTTGGTTGTTGTACTGGTCATTACAGTCCCTGCAAACACCACACTCATGCTGCTGCCTGGGGAAATGCTGACAGCTCCACCCGAGGAGCTTTGCCCAGTGGAACCGCTTGCAGCACCGGCCAAGGCTACATTCACTTCTTCTGAGGAGACAGCAACTGCTAAAGCCTTGCTAGGTCCAGCTTCTCCTGCATCCTTGGTGGCTGCTCCTGCCAGGGCTGCAGTTACGGGGCTGGAGCCTCCACCTCCAGGCATGGTGGCTGCTATACCTAGAGCACCTGAGGCAGGGCTGTTTGCTGACCCACCTCCTGTTGCTGCCCCTGCAACAGTCAAGCCACCTGTTGTCCCTGCTATTGCTCCTTCTTTGGTAGATCCTGAAGTGCTGATGACAGCTGCAATAGCACCTTGAAGTCCCTCTCCTCCAGCATAAGCAGAAGAGGAGGCTCCAGACAGTTCCTGAAGCTTTAGAAGCCCAGAATCCTGATATCCTTCTCCATGGATGTCTGAGGCCTGTGCCAAGGAGAGGAGAAACAGGTGAGATTGAAAAGGAGAGGCCAGAACTTTCCATTCCTTTTTCATCCTGGAGCTGAGCAACTCAAGATATTATCATAGGAAGAACCTTTGCAACCATCAAATCTAAGCTCTTGTTTGTTACAAGAGTAGCATCTCTGTGAATAAGCACTCAGTTTCACTTCAACCATTCTAGTTCCAAAGAAAACACAGAATCAAGTCCCTATCACTGTACAATTTCTTTTACATACATGTGCCTCTACCTTTTCAGATTTCTAGAAGTGGGATTATTGAGTCAGGAGATACATTTTACATGTTGGTGGCTACAGAAGCAAGTTTTGCATGTGTATGCACACAAGTGGGTTGTGTTGATTTAAAGAAAAATCAGTGCATGGTAATCATGGAAAGGCAAACATGGTTCAGATGAGGGAAGCACTTCCTAATTGCTAAAATGTACTACACTAAAAAGTTGATCTCATAGAGGTAGAGAGTAGATTAATGGTTACCAGAACATGAGAAGGATATAGAGAAGGAGGGATGTGGAGAAGATGATTAACACAGATAGGGGTATAATTGGACAAGAGGAATAACCTCTAGTGTTCTATATCACTATAGCATGACCATAGTTGGTAGCAATTAACTTTATATTTCAAAGTAGCTAATAGGATTTTGGAGAATTTAGGAATCTAGCACAAAGAAACAAATAAATGTCTAAGTGTTGGATAGGCCATTTACCCTGATCTGATCATTACACATTGTATTCAAGCATTAAGATGTCATACTGTACACATAAATAGGTACAATTTTATGCACCAAAAATAAAAATATATTTTAAAAATATCCATAACAAATGAGGCTGTCTGGGTTTGTGTATTAAGAGTTCAAGAAGAGATTATACAATCAGAATGTCATAGAATGTCAACTACTCTGTCTCACACTAAAACCCCAGGTGTGAGACAGAGTAGTTGATACATAAGATTTCTGACAACCAATCTTATGGAATATTTTGGAGAAGCACTTTGAACCTCCACTTGAGCCCCTACTGGTGGCTCATTTGGCCTTGAGCCTTTTCAAATGCAGTGCATTTCCCAGCTCAGCCCCAGAAGGCAACAAAAAACTTTCTAGGACCCAGTTTGAGATGCTCTCCCAAAGCACTCTGCCTCATTTTCCTGAGTCAGTACTTACCAGTAGGCTTTTGTCATCCTCAGTATTTCCGTCCCCAGTCTGAATAGTTGGGGTACTGCTGCAGCTCTCTGCTGGTGGCCTCAGAAGATAGACAAGCTTTTCCCAGTAGCAGAAGAGGTCTTCTCGTACATCTGAAGAGGGACAAAGCTGCAGATAAAAAGTCCGGCCTGTGGCAAGCTTCAAACGTAGTTGCTGTTTCTCACGATCGTGGATGGAGATCTTGACAAACTTCAAGGGAAGTAGCCTGGTGAGCTCTAGAGTCTTCGCAGACTTCCGTCCTCTCCCTTTAATGGTCCGGCCACGTCTGGCATGCTCTTCACAGACTTTAGCAGGTCTGGCCAGCAGCATGACATCAGGTAGTGGAAGGATGGGGCTGGTGGAGGCGATGCCCACTGTCACCATTCGAACACGGTTGTGAACATCAATCACCTCTCCTTTTTTGCTAATCTGGATAAAATCACTCTCAAACATGGGTGCATACTTGAAAATGTCATACTCTCCTCCCTTGTACAGTTGTCGTTGCAGGTCCCCCATGGAGGTATTGAACACACCCATTGAACGGTAGCTGTGGGCTGTGTAGTAAGGTAACACACATTCGCTACTCCTGGGTCTCTTTATTCCAGACATCTTTGCCAGCCACAATTTGAGTCCCTAAGAGAGAAGAGGGAATGATGGCAACTGCCCATCTCCCTGCAAGGCTTCTGCCTCTGTCTCTTCAAACCACCTTATTTATCCTGTCCTGTCCTTTGTGACCTGTCACCATCACACACCCCTTTGTCCTCACCCCTGAGCAGCTACCCTCTCAAGGCTGGGTCAATAGCCCGTCTGCAAATATACCACCACCTCCACAAGGGCAGGCTGATCCTGCTAGGGTAGGCTGGATGTTCTTTTTAACCAAAATGTTGGGATGCTCAATTTATGAAACCATGCTACTATCGTAAATATCTAGTTTGTATTTATTCACTTCTGGTGGTACAGATACTCCTCCAAGACCATCGTCCAACAAATGTATTTTTGTTTCAGCTGAATTACTTTCTGGTTTAAGATCCTGGAAGTAGACTGTATGCCTGCCAAGAGTAGTGATTTCATTCCTCTGTGTGTAAATAATTTAAATGCTGGCAGGCACACAGTGGCTATTGAATGAATGGTCCAGAGGGGCTGCTGCTACCTGTCAGAACCAGAGTCTTTACAGTTACAGTGGTTTTCAGGATATAGACAATTTTCTCAACCATTTTCTCATCTGTAGGAGGTTAATTTTTCAAAAACGTAAGTTTCTGGTGAGAAAACTGAGGCTTTGTAGTCTTGCTTTGGGTCAGATTCTAATCCAGCACCAGATTCTAATCCAGATCTTAGAACTCAAGATGGAAGTTTTTCTCTACCTCAGGCTTCATGGCTCACTGTTATAATCTTGTTCTACACAAATGTGGCAGTTAGCGATATGTGTGGGGACATAACTGGGAACCACAGGAGTTCATAGAGGTCCTGAATCACCATAGGATTTCCCATACTGGTATGCCTACTCCTTTACCCTTATGTCTTTTTGATAAATCATTGACATTTTGTTTCTTTGAAAAGCTCTTCAGAGAAATTGTGGCAAAGACAACTTCCTGGAGCCTTTCTTTTACTTTACACAAGGTGATGAATCCAAAATTCCCCCTCCCCCACTTAGAAAACTACTTCTGAGATAAATGCACATCCCCCATATGCAGTGATTCCTATGTGGAGGTCTTGAAATGAACTTCAGTCACAAAATGTTCTTTTTCATATCCCTTGTGTTTACTCCAGTGCCTAACACATTTCAACTTTTCAGTAAATTATGTTCAATGAGATTTATTAGTCATTCATTTATTCATCCAACAATATTTAATGAACAAGTTTGGGGCCATATAGAAAGGGAAATGCAATAATAAATTTCTTTACCCCCGAAGAGCTAAAATATGAAGAGCTAAAGATGTTGAGTTACTTCTCTAAAGAAAGAACAAAGTGCCTTCTTTTGTATTATGAGGGGATAATTGCTAAAAGTCAACACTATTTAAAAAAAGTTGATTTTCCCTTTCTACTTATATTACCATATATTAATATTATCATTATGTTATTATGTATAGGATACTCAACGATATAGACTTCTCAGGTGAATCATGAAAATGATGGATAACAAGATCATATTATTGAGAATTTACTATAAGCTACGCATAGTTCTAACTGCTTCACATTTTTAAAAAATTTTAATCCTCACAATAGGATTAAATATAGGTATAACTATATTTAATATAGGTATAACTATTATCCCTATATTTTTGAGGGAAAGATCAAGACTCAAAGAAGGCTCAACTTCAACTTCACTGAGACTCAAACTTCACTGAGTCTTCACAAGACTAATAAGACTCACAAGACTCACAAAACTTCACAAGACTCAACTTCACTGAGGTCACAAGAAACCAAAAGATATGAAAGTTACAAAATATGGCAAAAGTTAAATTGTACTACACTAAGTCATATTAATAGAGCAAAAATATACAATTACCATGCAGAATAAGTTCATCCATTCTTCTGGTTAATATTATTAAATGCATGATTTGTGCCAGACCCTGTTCTAGGTTCTGAGAATATAGCTGTAGATAAAATAGACAAATATCCTTGGCCTTATGGATATTTGTCTTGGATATAGTCAGTAAACAAGTAAGTTATACGATATGTCCAGTGCTGGTACAGGGTACGGAGAAAGATGAGTAGGTTTGTGGGATGGGAGTGTGTGCAGGAGAAGGGGAGGTAGTATTTAAGGAAGGCTCAATTATAAGTGACCTTCAAGCCAAGACATAAAAGAGGTCTGGGAAAAAGGCATGTAGACATCTTGAGGAAGATCTGTCAGTCAAAGGGTATAGCAAAAGCCTATGACCCTGATGGCTGGTATGTTTGAGGAACTCCAAGGAGGGGACAGGGAAAGAATGAAGTGAATTAGGGAAAGGGTGGTTGGAGATGAAGCTAATAGGCAATTGGGAGATAATAGAGAAGCAAATCCCATGAATGGGTATTGTAGGCCAATGTAGTCTTTGGCTTTGCTCTGAATTGGAGATGATCTGATCCACATATAAAATGATCTTTCTAGCTGCCATATTTAAAAGAGTTTGTATAGGTGCTAGGGGAACAGGAATGGAGAATGAGCAACTCCTGCAAGATATGATGGTAGGAAGAAGTGTAGTGGCAGTGAAAGTAATGAAAGGTGACCAGCCCCTAGACTCACTTCAGTTGAGGCAATTATTATGTTGAACAATTTTCAGTAAATGTTAGTGAAAAGGCAAGTTGTAAAATAGCACCCATAATATTTCATATAGGTCTGAATAAAAAATTGAGGGAAAGAAGGAGAGAGAAAAGATGCACATGAAACTGATAATAGGAGCTATCTTGGGGCAACTTGTCATATGAGAGAAATAGCAGGAGAGGGACTATTTTCAAAGTATTCCCTTTTAAACTTTTCAAATTTTGTCCCACTGTATATACTACCACCTCTATACAAATAAATAATATTTGGTTTATAGATTGTAAAAATATTACACCATTAAAATATATTCTTAGAATATTTATTTATTGACTCAAGCCTTGTTATTAGAAATAAAGTCAGTACATAGCTTCATCCAAATTTAATTCTGACACTAAATTTAAGAATTGGAGGATGAAAGTCCAAAATAATGTTTAAATTCATTTTCGGATTTTTAAAACCTTGTGAAAATTCATTGTGTTCTTCCAGAGTTTAAAATATGACAGAACTCCAGTCAATCAAGATATAGTTATTGATCATCCACTCTGTGTTCATCATTATTCTAAAAATATTCAGGTTGTCAAAATATGTTTCAGACATTTTAAAACACAAACCTGACACAAATATAGAATGATCCTATGCCAAAGATTTAATCTAATTAATCAATGGTGGATGAACCAATACAATAAAGCTACTTCAAAGGACATTTAAAGAAACAGGCACTGGCAATAGAGAAAGAATGGTGAAGTATCATTGTCAATTTAGTTGCAAAATTGGTCAAATGTCTCCAGTGCAATAAAATTATAACCTTGCGGCTTACCTTTTCTACCAAACATTAATCGTTTGCATTGATTCTTAATGGAGATCTACAAGTTACTGTGAAACTTCACAGAGCAAAGACTTTTAATCAGTAACAGATTTCTTAGGGTGTTGAAAATGTTCTAAAATTAAATTGTGATAGTTGTACAATCCTGGGAATATACTGAAAATCACTGAACTGTATACTTTCAAGGGATAAATTTTATATTGTATGAAAAATATCTCACTGAAGCTGTTAAAAGTACTTGCAACACCAGTTTTGACTGGTTGACACAATTCCATTTTCTTCCTTCATTCTCTTAGATAATTAAATGATCCTTACACAGAACTTTAAAGATATTGAAAATACATGTTTCCTGCTTTACATGTTTTCTATGTACAAGTTTGGGGTAACTTTTTTTAACAAGAAATATGATGGAGTATATATAAGCTCTGATCCTAACTTCAGAGGAGTTACAACTAGTAAGAGAACAGAGACTGAAGCCACAGAGACAATAGGAGGAGGGCAGATAAATATGTGATAGGGTAATAGTGAATGAGTTCAGTGAATGGTGAAACTAATAATATTTATCACTATATTTAGCCAATGGTAATTATTTTGTAGTAAGGAAAATGTTAAAACCACAATTCTTTTTTAAAAATAGAAGTTATCAAGTCTATTATGAAATTTATTTGTGAATTCACCAGATATAGAATAGCCAAACAATTTTTAAAAGAACAAAAATAGTTTCACTACCTGATTTCAAGACTTAACACTATTTCAATCAAGAACCTCTGTAATAGGCAATGAAGACAGATGTATAGGGCAACATAGGTGAGTTGAGAAATAGTCTCACGTGTCAATCGATTTTTATCACAGCTCCCAAGATATTTAATACAGTAGGATAATATTTTTTTCAAAACAAGAAAGATAAAAGCAAATAAAAACAAATACAACAAAAAAACTCGACCCTGAATGACATTTTAAAAAATTACTTTTAACGAACCATTGGCTTAAGTAAAGAGCTTAAACTATAAGTTTTGAAGAAAATAGGGAGAGTTCAAAACCATAGTTCTAAGGATTTTTTTTTTTTACATTTTAAATTGGCCCAGTGTTGAAGAGATTTGAAGAATGAAAATACAAGCTGTATTTATAGAGTATATATAGACACATAAGACTACAGGTCACTGAAGACTACCTGTACATTTATGGTGGGAAGAAGTTTCAAGTCAGTATCTTTTGTTCCCCGTGTATTATTTTGAAAAGCAAGGCAGAGAGACAGCTATATGTAGCTTTTTCAGTGAGTATGCAGCCTAGTGAGGGGAGATGTTATGAGCTAGGCAGGATGTGAGGGTGGGGAGATTTCCATACAGTACACAATATGTACCTGCTGGGTAAATCCCCAGGCCTAAAATAAATCCACAGTGCATTTATGTTGATTGCCACAAGCCAAGGTGACGTGGGATGAGTTGTGGTTTGCTTTGGGCACCTAGGACTTCAGGAAGCCAACTTGATTTCTGCCTTACCTTCTGATGACAGAAAAGACCCGCAGGCACAGAAATCTTCCCCTGTGGCTCAGTATGCAAATCAGCCTGCTCCATCCTTGGTTTAAAAGGAAAATGAGCTGGTACACATCAAAGAAGTCAGACAGGCGATTCAAATAATTTTATTTCTCAACATTATAATCCTACTAGTGTCCCCTATCCTTCCCCTGCCTCCCTCCTGTTCCCTTCATCTACTCTGCTCTATTTAGCTTTACTTTGAACCAAAATTCTTTCCTGCTCATCACAGTCTTAGGACAGTTTCCCTCTCACCCCTTCTTAGTTGATGCTGTTCATAAATTGTGAGATGTCCCACCTCAGTTTATGTATTTATTTCTTTGGTGTTGCACTGAAGAAGACTGTAACTAAGCACATACACACAAATTATAAAACAGTTATCACTTAAAAATGAAAATAAAGATCAGAAACCATATAGAAGTAGAGGAAGGTAAGTGATTCATGAGATAAAATAATTATTGCAAGTAAATGTGATATTTAATTCTGGAAAAATATAAAATATAACATTGATTATCACTGAGAGATGAGATTAGAAGGGATTTTTAATTATATTCGCTGATCTGCTTTTTTCATAAAGAATATGTATCACTTTTGGAACCAGATACAGATGTATTTCAAAAATTAGCTCTGAGCTTCTTGGCCACCTCAATTATCACTGTCTTCTAGTCATGTCAATGCTTTCTTTTAAATTAGAAACAAAAATATTTTTCAATAATATTATTATTTTTTTAAAGAGAGAGAGAGTGAGATTTTAATATTTATTTTTTAGTTTTCGGCAGACACAACATCTTTGTTTGTATGTGGTGCTGAGGATTGAACCCGGGCTGCACGCATGCCAGGCAAGCGCGCTACCGCTTGAGCCACATCCCCAGCCCCAACAATATTATTTTTTGAAATTCTATAAATTTAAAAGTGAAACATCTCTCTACCCTCCCAGTTCCACTGCTGGAAATTTGATAATGTAAACTTCTTTTTGGGGTACCAGGGATTAAACTCAAGGGCACTTGTCCACTGAGCCATGCCCCCAGCCCTATTTTGTGTTTTATTTAGAGACAGGGTTTCATTGAGTTGCTTAGCATCTCACTTTTGCTGAGGCTGGCTTTGAACTTGTGATCCTCCCATCTCAGCCTCCAGAGCTGCTGGGATTACAGGCATGTACAACCATGCCTATAATGTAATATTCCTTATATTGCCCTGTGAATATACATATATGTTAATCTAGACATAAAGCATTTGTATTATAAGAATTAGATGTGCTGTATATGTTGTCTCTACTTGTTTTATCTTAGCAATATTTATTGTACTTTTTTTAGAATGATACATTATAAATATATTTTATTCATCTTCATGATTATGTTAATATTCTCCTGTAAGGGTGCACCATAGAGTATACCTAGTCTTTAACTGATGCATGCATAGGTAGTTTCCATTATGAAAAACACTGAAGTGACTGGAACACCTCATGTAATCTCAGTGTCTTGGGAAACTGAGGCAAGAAGATTGCAAATTTGAGGTCACCCTCAACAATTCAGTGAGATCCACAGTAAATTAGTCAGACCTTGTCTTCAAAAATTGTTGAAAAGAGCTGGAAATGTAGCTCACGGCAAAACACTACTGGGTTCAATCCCCTGTATCAAAACAAACAATACCACTGCAGTGAATATTTGACACAGGTAACTTCTCTGCACTCATGTTGCTTTTTTCTTTAGCATTGTAGTTCAAGAAGGAGTAAGGATTTGTTATTTTTGTTTTCAAAAGAAACAGGCTGTGGTGGTTAATCTGAATTATCAACTTGATTGGATTCAGAGATGCCTAAGATTAAGAGGCTCCTGCGCATGTCCATGAGGGTGTTTCTAGGAATGACTGATGTGTGGGATAGTACACTGAGGGGGGAATGCACTCTACATGTGGGCAGCACACTCCAATAGGCTGGGAACGTGGATGGAAAAAAAAAGGTAGAAGAACAAGGAACCTAATGAGGATGCAAACTCAATTCTTCTTGAATGGAGGCTTTGATTGCTGCTGAGATCTAATGATATTGGATTTCTGCTGCTACACTCTTCCAAAGCAGAATCTTGACTAGGGACTCATCAGGAAGTTTCCAGGCCTTCAGTCTTGCATCATTGATCCTCCTTCTGAAGCTCCAGCTTCTTGGGCTAAGCAGCTACTGGTTCCTTCAGCTCTCTTGGCTTCAGGTGGCCATTGTGGGACTATCCAGCTTCTGGTTGTGTAAGCCAATCCAGTGAATCCCCTTTTTATAATCATATATGTATGGATACATGTATATGTGTGTATGTGTGTGTGTGTGTGTGTGTGTGTGTGTGTCTGTCTGTCTGTCTGTCTAATATATAGGCTGACTAATGCATAGGCTATGTAGCAACTGGAATGTTCTAGATATTACAGCTAAAATGGATATCATACCAATTTAGTTTGGATGGAAATCATAGGGAAATAAAGGACTTCAAAGCCATATCATAGGAGGACATTTGAAGAATCTCTTTTTTTATTTGCTAATCCAAAGGGGCTATCTTCCACCCCAAAGAGGTTTAGAGTTATAGAACCTCAAATGATAAGACAATCAAGTAGTCTTTAGGTCCCAGTTAGGGTGAGATCATTCATCATTCACCAATGATCAAGCATGTATTCACCTTCCTCAAGTGGCAACACTCGGTGTTCCTTGGAGAACCGAAACCCCTCTCCACCATTAGTCTAGGGGTTCCAGTAGGGCTGTTTCAACCCAACCCCCAAATCCAAGGGTGTGTAAAGATCTAAAGCTGGACTACTAAATATTTCATTGTCTTGGCTGTACTGATTGGTACTTGTGCGCATATCACTGATGATAAGGCATCATCTGAATCATCTGCATCATCATTTGAGATCTTTTCTGAAACTAGGAGGAAAGAAAATCCAGTTCCACTATTGAAAAGGCTGGCAGCCATTTTGCTGTCATGAAGTAAAACCTGCAGAAGCTTGAAGCTGGCCCAGAACTGAGGAGGTGTAAGTACAACTTCTGATGTCATTGCTTAAGTATCTAGATCCAGCAGTGCTAATTTGACTGGATTTTTTTCTTTGATATAAGATATTAAGTGAGGATTTCTCAACTCACTTTCATTTGAGGCTTCAAAGCCTTTTAAAAATATAATTAAAGGAATTAAGTGCTTCTGTATCCTAAAGCAGGGTAGTATATCATCCATAGAGGCACAACCTGTTCTGCCAGTCAAGGCTCAGCCACCGTTAGTGCTTGCCTTTAGAAAACAAGGCTTGAGAAATCAAGACAAAGAGTTTTTTTTTTTTTTAATATGATGTGCATTTTTTCTCACCTCCACCCCCAGGGAAGGAGAATGGAAGCTTGTATCCACCAGAAGCCAAGCGACACAGACTTTAAAGAATGACTCTGTGAGTCTCGTATGAGTCTCAAAAAGTCTTGGAAATATAGGGACAGTGTCTAAATCCCATTTGGAGAAACAGGATGCTGATGAAGGCATTGTGGAAAAGCTGCTTATTTGGAGTCAGTGGAAGAAGGGGCTGTACTTGGAACAAGTGGTATATCCATCAACAGCAGGGCATGAATGCCCTAATCTTCTAGTAGTCATGGGAGGGAAAAGTGGCACGTGGCTCTTTTTCAAGGAAATTTCACCCAAGGCAACCTAGTGGGCAAAGGAATCTAAAACAGAGTCAGAGGGCAGGTAGAGGTAGACCTGCAGAAGCCCAATGACTGGAGGTTGGATTCGTTGACCAGATAGAGTGGTATCTCTTCTACTGGGAACAGCTATCAGAGCCCTCAATGGAAAACTGCAAACAGAACACATGACAGACATTTCCCATAAAATAAAAAGCAAATTTATATCCATCACACCCTGAGGGCATTAACTCTGTATTATTTTTGTAGCTTCATTTCTGTAGCCTGAGAGTGAAGGGAAAATTAGAAACCAGGCTAGTGTGTGGGAAAGGAGGAGTTAGGCATAGTGGCAAAGACAGCAGGCCTCAAATCCCAAAGCACACTTGATGACATTGAAGAAGAGCATTCAATTGAATATGTGTTTGGAGTTCTGATTAGGGCACTGAATTAGACTGGCGTTTCTTAACTTTTTATCATGGAAACTTTCAAACATTTATCAGTGTGAGCAGAGTACACTAATAAACCCCCAATTCACTACCCGGCTTGAGCAATTGTCAACTCGAGAACTTTCTTCATTCTCCCCCTACCTTTTTTTTTTCACTCCACTGGATTGTAACAAAGCAAATCTTAGATATTCGATTGTCTCAACAAGCATGGGCATGTTTCTATGCAAAATAAGTACTCTTTTTTTGACAATAGTGTCATCATCACATCTAAAAAACTAAATAATAGTTTCTCAGTATCACCAAATCTCAGTGTTCAAACTTTCTTAATTGTCCCATTCAGTTTTTATGCAGTTAATTTGTCTGATTCTGAATCCAAACAAAATCCTCCTGTGTGTTTGATATATCAAAAGTTTCTTGTAATCTGTTGGTTCCCTTCCAATTTATCTGTTGCAGATACCAGTCATTTTTCCTTCAAGTTCTGAATATTCGGGACTTACACAGTTAATATCTTTATCACATGTCTGCTGGGGGAGGGGGATATTCCCTTATCTCTTTTATTTTCTACAAACTCAAATTTAGATCTAGAGGTTTGATTAGATTCACGTTTGATTTTTTTTTCCTGTTAGAATGACTCCTGTGTGAGTGGTTTTGTGAGTGGTTTTATTGGGTCACCTCAGGAGAAGTGCAGTGTCTGACTGTCTCTCTTGTGATGTGAAGATTATTCAGTCTGTTAAAGTGTTGTCAGCTTCGTGAATTGTACATTTTCCTATCAGCTTTTTGGTAATGATGTAGCAGCCACTGATGATTATAACCCACTATGTTATTAGGGTTGCAAAGTAGCGATGCTTTCTCATTCCTTCTTCATTAATTTGCTTTCTAAAGGACTTCACATCATTAAATATTTTATTACTAAACTGAGATATAGTTCTACAGAGACCAGGAAAATACGTTTTACCTTTTTATTTCCAGTTTTTAAAATAATAAGTTGATCTTCACCACTCTCCAAAAATGGTCAATGGGTTGAATTTTATATTATTTTATTGTTATTTTTTATTACTGGAGATTGAATCCAGAGGTGCTCTGCCATTGAGCAACATCCTCAGCCCCTTTGATTTTTAATTTTGAGCTGGGCTCCATAAGTTGGTGGGACTGGCCTCAAACTTGCAATTCTACTTTAGCCTCCTGAGTAGCTGGGATTAAAGGTGTGCACCACCACACCTGTCTAGAATATTTTTTTCCCATTTACTTTATGAACTCATGATTTCAACATTTTTATTGCTTTTCAATTTATTGCAGATATTATTCATTTAGATGCCCAAATTGTTCTATCTTTGGGCAGAGAGAACTTCTTAAATTTGTCTCCTATAACCTGAACTTTTTAAACTAAAAATAAAAAAGAAATTATTTGGGCTGGGGTTGTGGCTCAGTGGTAGAGCGCTTGCCTGGCACATATGAGACACTGTGTTTGATCCTCAGCACCACATAAAAATAGATAAATAAAATAAAGTTACTGTGTCCATCTACAACTAAAAAAAATTATTTAAGAGATTGTTTGTTTACTTTTTCATTAGAATGACAGAGAAAATATTGGATTTTCTTAAGTTATACTAAAGAGTGAACAGAGACTAATCCCAGTAGGTGATTTTGAAAATTCTGTGAGAAAGAAAACAAAATTATTTATGATTGTACTCCAGAAAGACAACAAAATAAAAGATACTATTACAACAGCTCCTGATGATATTTTGCTTTCCCAAGTGAGAACACTGTGAAGTCTGTAAATCTTTTAACCTGAATCAACCAGGTATCAATCTATCCTTCCCAAAAGAGTTTAAAAGTATAGTTTGAGAAGGAAGTACTTGGTATTAGAATCTGTTTTCCACTAGTGAAAGAAACCTCAAAATTGCAGCATCTTGGTAAATAGTTTATTTCACTTTGTATTACAAAGGTGACCCAGGGTTAGCATGGAAGATCCATGGACATCAGGACTCCAGGCTCTTTCTACCATATGCTTCCTTTTCCTTAACATGCAATTTCTACTGCATGATATAAGGTAGCTGCTCCAGCCCTAGCCATTATCTCAACATTCCAATCAACAGGAAGAGGAAAAAGCTAAAGAAAACGATATGAAGATTTCTATTAAGGACAATTCCACCTCTGCCTTATTCTGTTGGCCAGAAAAGAGTCACATGTCTATGCCTCATTACAAAAGGATCTGAAAAACATAGTCTTTATTCTGCCTGGCTGGAGGTCCAGACAACGTTCAGGGAGTCAGTTATCCTAAGAAGAAGAAGGAAGCAGATATTTGAGGAAAACAACAATCCCTTCCTCAAGCCATATTCAGGAAAACAAAACACCAAAACAAACAAGCAAACAAACAAAACCCTACCTCTACTAGTGTATTTCCATATACACGTCTTAAAATCACAGAATAAAGGTCATTCAAATATCCCCTTCCTTTTCCCTCGTGCATGTCTTGATTATGCAGGGATTTCTGACATATGAAATAAAATTAGAGTGTATCATTAAATGATAATTGACACTCAAAAATAAATTTTTGAGAGTCATACTCCTGTACAGTAATAATGACAATTGTGTCTCATTATTTATTCCTATCCAGCCCATGCCACTTCTGCTTACATCAAAATTTCTTACTTATTAATTTCATGGTAGAAGTATGTCTTACATATTATACCTCAACAATGTTCCAACTCAAACTCAAAGGCAAAATAGATGACCACTAGAACTCAGTATTCACAGTGTCTGCCATGCACTTCTCAAAGGACCTACTAAAGAAGCTAAGGATCAGAGAGGGCAAGAAGCTTGCTTCAAGAAAAACAGTTTAGTAAATGACAGAGTTTAGTCAGTGACAGAGCTGGAATTCCAGTGTAAGTTTTTTTCTGTTTTCAGAGCTCATTCATTCTTTATTATGCTGCTCTGGCATATTCATTTATTTTCTGTTCTTCTACAAAATTTTAGGAAACAAAAACAATCATCTATATGTAGCACAGAGAAACTTCTGTGGGCTCTTATTTAAAGTTTAAAAAGCTTTAAATTTTAAAAATAAACTTCAAATCTATTTCTGCTAAGAGTTTTATGCTCAGTCTCTCTTTGAATTGCCCACCCCAAGTTGGTGATTATCCATTCAACACATTTTCTCAAATAAACTTTTCATATGTGTTTGTTGCTGAGCATATAATGGTGAGTAAAACCACACATATCCCTTACTCTTGAGGAGCATCTAAACTAGTGAGTGTGTAGCTGGAGAAGAGATGCCTCCGGAGGGTCCAAGGAGTTCCCAGAGGGAGGGGGAATTTATTTCAGGATGAGCAGGGTTCCTGGCATATGTGATGGAAAGAATTTCAGCAGGAGCCAGACAAAGGCATAGGCAGAGGTTTATTTAGAAAGTAGTTACACATTCAAGGGAGAAGCCCTTTTGTGGGTTGGGGTCCAATATTTATAGAAAGGCTATAATTAGGACGGGACTGGACATGGAGCAAGGTGGAGGCACAAAAATTTTTACCAGTTTTCCCTGTGCTCAGGTATTTTATTTTCCAAGGGTACAGGCCAAGGACATGTCACTCAAGATTTACAACTGTGCTTTCTGCACCTTAAAGGCTCTTGGGTTGTTTTCTTTGAGACTCAGTATCTCTCTCTCTTAATCTTAGATCCCTATCTCAAGTGAGGAGACAACCCAAAGTCACCCTCCAGATGCATGATTAATGCTGTTCTGAGGGGAATGAAGAAAAAGGTAGAAGGTGCCTTGTTATGAATGGTGGATTTGACTTAGGAAAACCAGGAAGAAGTCCCTGAGGAAGTATAGGGAGGCAGAGGCTGGCATTATAATTCAGAGTTAACCCAAAAAAGCAGAGGCAAAAAGACATTCTGGGGCAGAATGCATGTGCAGACTGGCATGAGAGGTGTGCACAGAGGGCTGGGAATAGGGGCAGATTGGTAGACTGGGGTGAGAACCTTTGAGCAAGAAGTGAGGTGAGCCAAAGAGGAACCCTGCAGTGCCTTGTCTAGAGCCACTGTTATTCACTTTCACAGATGAAAAAAAAAAAAAAAAAAACAGATTCAGCACCACTGAATAATTTGCCTGTGGCCTCACAACTGGTTCCAGTGGTAGATCAGGAGAGAGTAATGGCCCTTGTAAGACCCATGTCTTAATCTCCAGAACCTCTGTGTATGCTAGGTTACATGGCAAAGGGGAACTAAAGTAGAGAAGAGAATGAGGTTGTTATCAGCTGACTTCAAATAGGACTTTCCTAGATGATCCTAGATTGAATGGACCCAGTATAACCACAAGGGTCAAAAGTGGAGGAGGGAAGAAGAGGTTTCCAAGGAGGACTGGACCTGTGGCTGTTGGCCATGAGCTGGAGGAGTATGGGTGTCCTTCAGAAGCTGGGAAAGTCAAGGACACATATTTTCTGATAAAGATCCTAGGGAAAGGGTCACAGCTCATTAACAATTTGATTTTAGTCTAGTGAGACCCATTCCAAATTTCTGAATTACAAAATTGTGAGACAATTAATTTGCGTTACTTGAAGTCACTAAGTCTGTAGCAATTTGTTACAGTAGCAACAGGAAACTTAACACCCAAGCTGGGCTTCATGGGCTCCAGAACCCACATTCTTAATTCCTGTGCTAGATGTCTTAACTGTTGGGTGGGCTAAACCAGGAACTATGACAATAAGCATCAAATTGCTAATATAATTTTGACTCTAAGTTTCTTCAAACATCATTTCCAAACCATGCAGCAAAGGGTATATATATATATATATTTATATG